GAGGCTACAATGCTTGATAAGAAATGTACTCATTATCTTGCCCATGTAATTGTAACCCCTCTGTACAGTATTTTCACACAAAAAAAGCCAATGGCAATTTCTTTACTGTCATTAAGAAGCATGACAATGCCAGGCACCAGTGGCTCATGACTATAATCCAGCCTATTTAGGAGGCTGAGATCTGAGGATCACGATTTGAAGCCAGCCCTGACAGAAAAGTCCTTTTATCTCCAATTAGCCACTCAGAAACCAGAAGGAGAGCTATGGCTCAAAGTGGTAGAACACTAGCCTTGAGTATAAGAACTCAAAGATAGTACTCAGGCCTTGAATTCAAGCAATATGACCGATTTTTTTTTAAGTATATCAATAATAAAGTGACTATCAAGGAAGCTATAAATAATTACTCAATAAGGCAGTCTATGTTTTAAGTGAATTCAGTAAGAATATTTTCATTTTGATTAGGGAAAAAATGGCCTAAGAAACATTTTCACTTTAATTTTCTTGAACAAATCTGAGTAAAAACATTGTTCTATATATGGTCAATTGTAACTGACTCCCTCCCAGTAAATAACAGTATTTCTTCCAGAGAAATAATAGTATAAAGAACATGGCTTGTAAGGACACTAACCTGGATTCCTGATTATGTGTCATCATTTGTCATTCTGTGGCTTTGATCAAGCAACTTAAAGCCTTCATCAAGCTGGACGCCGGTGGCTCATGTCTTTAATCCTAGCCACTGAGGAGGCTGAGATCTAAGGATCATGGTTCAAAGCCAGTCTGGGCAAGGAAAGTCTGTGAGACTCTTATCTCCAATAAACCACTAGAAAACTGGAAGTGGTGCTGTGGCTCAAGCAGTAGAGCGCTCACCTTGAGCTGAAGAGCTGAATGATAGCGCCCAAGCCCAGAGTTCAAGCCCCACGAACAACAACAAAAAAAAGCCTTCATCATCCCAGTTTCCTCTTGTGTGAAATTTGTGTCACTGTCAACTACAGCAGAACAATTGTTAAAAGTAAGGGATGGTGTTTCTGAAAGCCACTACACCTTAGTTCTCATGTTAATTGACAATGAGTGTTCTTCTAAACCCTCCAGACATGCTGTATCTTTAACTTGTATTTGTTGCTGAGATGGTTCCCTTATTAGCATTGTGCAGATATCAGGATTGAGGAATTAAGTAATTCTCCAACATCAGAAGGCTATATGCATCAGAACTGGATTTTCAAACAGTTTATTTGACTTAAAACTTCTCCCCTCAATCACCACTCTTCCTGCTTCTAATATGCCAAAATATTGCCTGTACCAGATGATGAAAGCAAGTTTATGTCCCAATAGGGCCCTGATTCTTCTCACATTCTGCACTAAAACTCGTTATTTATATTATCTGCCATAGTCCAATTTACTGAAAACGTCTCCAGTTTTACCTCTTGATGGAAAAATATCCCAATGTCCAAAATAAAAACAACAATGCAGATTATTACAACTTAAAGAAATTACACAAATGCCTATATGAGACATCAATGTTTTTGCTTCATTTAAGGATTATATATAATCATAATATATGTAATTATACATATGTATATATTACAATTCTGGTAGATAGTAGACATCCTGTGATGTAAGGAGAAGAAGTTTATAATCTAGGGTCAAATAGCCAGAGCTCGAGATTAATCCCTTCCAGTGATTCACTGCACCTATTGCACATCTTTCCGAGTACATTTCCTCCTCACACTGAGGAGACAAGCTAACCCTTCCAGCTGCATGTAGCTTCCTGCCTGGCACAATGGCAGCAATAAAGAAAAGTTAGCTTCTTTCTTCTCCTTGCTTTACTCCCTACTTTTCCTATTCTGTGCTGTCTTGTGCGTCAGGAAGCATGGAGAAACCCCTTTGTTTTGATAAAGTTTTCTAGGTAACACTTGGAAATGACAAAATGACGCCCTTAACATTAACATGTGAACAAGCAGCAGATCAGTGACCTTCCAAAGGCAGTGGCTTCCATCAGTGACCCCTCTGCAGAGAAGTCGGAGAAAATCTCCTCTTGGCTTTGCTTTTAGAGTCAGTGCATGAGTCAATTAAGAAAAAGCAATTCCATTACTCTATGGTATTTTTTGACAGAAGGAAAATAAGTACATAATGACATTTTTATCACATCCTGTATTCATTGCCTTGGTTCCAAATGATCTCATTATTTCTAAAGATCAAAATTCCAAGAAAGGATGAAGATTTAGAGTCATGATATATGCTAACAATTCACAGATAATTCCAAAAGATGTATTCTAACCCCTGATTAGTCACGAGAGGACCAGCACAGATGCTTGGGAACAGCCCCTGCTTTGAACAGTGTCTGCTTTGAAGGGCTCTTTTTAGGGGGTAATGTGTTCAAGTTGGACTGTTTAAATAGGGAAAATAGAACTTGGCTATACAAAATTATTGCAATCAGCTCAACAGGATTTACTTTGTCTTTCTGACGTGCCAATGATGTTTCAGAAGAACTCCTTTAATTTGTTGTCTGAAAAGTGTATAAACTCCATCAATAACAGAATTTTCAGTGTGCACCCCAAATTATAAAGAGTAACTAACTTAGAAATTATATATTATGTACATGCTCTAAAGATAGCTATATAAATGTGTGCTGTGAACTGAATGTGTATGTACCATGAACAATTATATACTGAGATCCTAACTTCCAATGTGACAGTATTGGGGTGTGAGGACTTCGGGAAGTTAATGGGTTCATAAGGATGGAGCCCTCACAAATGAGGTTAGTGCCCTTAAAGAGGGAACAGAAATTTTCTTTCTTCTCTCTGCCATGTAAGATACAACAAGAAGGCCATACATAAGCCAGGATGCAGGCTTCAGCAGTTACAACTACGCTAATAACTTGTTATTGGCCTTCCTAGCCTCTAGAAGTGCAAGAAAAGAAACAGCTTTCAAGCTACTCAGTCAATGGTGGTTTAGAGTTGCTGCATGTGATGACTAAGGGATTTAGAAAGTACGTTCAGGAAGTGACACTGTAGCTCAAGTGGTATAGCGCTCGCCTTTAGCTGAAGAGTGCAGGGACAGCGCCCAAGCCCAGAGTTCAAGCCCCACAACCGGAAAAAAAAGAAAAAAGAAAAAAAAGAAAGTACGTTCAATATAAAATAGATATAGAGATTAATCCAGATGAGATACATTTGTGTATATGTGTACTGATTCTAATACTGCACATATTCTTAACCCAAATGAACAGGTTTGTATGTCCAGTACATATCCAGACCTCCTGTTTTTGAGACAATTGTTTTACAAATTATAGAAATAATCCCTAATTGTGTTGTCTTGGGTAACTATTTTTAGATGCAATTGTGAGAAAGGGACTACAGATTATTACCTTTGTATTTATGTATCAGTACTCACGTCCTATTACAAATAAACAAATAATGACACAACTTCCCTCCCTACAGTGTGCAAATGCAATCCACTTTTCCTATTCAGAAGACAAAGTTTCACATAGTTGCTAAAAACTGTACGTTGAGCTGACATGAGATGTTGCCCACGTGTGGTGCTGGAAAGATACAGAAAGACTCTTCTGTGAGAGTGGCAAGTAAAGGAATCAAACAGGCAGAACTTTGAATGCAGTAATGGAAGTTGAACAGCTTGTTGCCAATTGACAACGGGTAAGCTTATGAGTCCCATGGAGTCAACAATGGGAAAAAGAAATGGCCTAAGCAGCTGTCCTAATCTGAAAGACCTGGAGCGTCTCAGAAACATTTGTATAGATGTGTAACAAAAGTTGGAAGAAGCTAACTCTGGCCTGGCGCCTATGACTCAGGCCTGTAATCTTAACTATTCAGGAGGCTGAGATCTAGGATCGTGGTTCAAAGGCAGCACTGTAGCTCAAGAGGTAGAACGCTACTCTTGAGCTAAAGAGCTCAGGGACAGCACCCAGGCCCAGAGTTCAAAATAAGTAAAGGACGAAGCTAACTCTGAACCCAAGAGCAAGAGAGAAAAATAGAGGAATAGCCGAAACCACTGTGGCTGATTTTGTGTTCCTGGCCTGAGATGAGGTAAGAGTAACACCCAATCACTATTCAGGTGCTTACTTGAGCTCCAGAAAAATACTGGTAATTATAACTCCAAAAGATCTGTCAGGCAAAAGATGATTTATTTATTTCAAATAATGTACTATAATAACTGCTCCCTAATAAGTTCTCTAAGAAATCATATATAATTTGGTAATATTTTAAAATCTATTTGCTTACACTCTTTTCTAAAGTAATCAAGAGTAAAAAAATGGTTCTAATGTAAAAAGAAAAACCACCTCTAAATTATGACGAAAAGGGAATCTGATTCCTAATTCATTTTGTAAAATTTTCCAGATCACATTGAAGAAAACCATGATGTTAGAAATAATTGAGAAGACTTGATAAACTGAAATAAAAACACTCACATGAAGAAATGCTCAACTTATGTAGCCATAAAAGAAATGCAAATCAAAACAACATTGAGATACCACCTCACCCCAGTTAGAATGGCTATCATCAAGAACTCTAATAACAACAGATGCTGGAGGGGATATGGACAGAAGGGAACCTTACTGCATTGTTGGTGGGAGTGTAAACTTGTTCAATCACTTTGGAAACTCAAAAACAGTTTTAAATATACCTTTGTTTTTGGTAGGGATGAGGGCAGAGACTGAACTTGCTAGATAGGGACTTAAACACTTGAGATACACCTTTAGCTGCTTTCTGTATTGGTTATTTTTAAGATAGTGTCTCCTTTTCATGTCCAGGTGGGCTTAGACTTCTAGTCTTCTATTTATGTTTTCCCATTTCATTTGGATGACAGGCATATGACACTGCACCCAGGTTTCCCTTATATCTAGGAAATAGGTAGATGACCCAGCCATTGGTTGAGATAAGATTATTACAAACTACCTTGAACTACCTTCCAAATGTCTAGCATTACAGGCTTGAGGTACAAAATCAGGTTTAACAAAATTTGTTGAAATAAATATCTTAATTGCTTACCTTCCCATATTTCTGTGCATAAGACCCTGTGAGCAGTGAGTGGAAAACAATGATGGTTTCATCCAAGTCCCAAACAAACACACGCTAGAGAGAAAACACCAATATCAAAATGTTATAAAGCTTAAGGAAACAAACCTCTTTTCAAGTAGAAAACATCTCCTCATATTGTCATACAGTTTTGACACTGTTTTGTAGAAAAGTATCGCATGAGGTTATTTATTTTTAATTTTCCTACTCTAGTTCTTGTCAGATCTGAACGACATAGGTTAAATGAGTAATCAAGTTTAAATATTAGACGTGATAATGTGAATGAATTCATCCAAACATTTTCTTATAGATGGTACCAAAATAGATGCATTCAGACTATATGACAGAAGTATGACTAGTCTATGTAAAATTAAAATTTTTATACCTTATAGAATTTTATAATTTATGCAAAAGAAATTCATTCTAAAGTATAGAAGAAAGGAAGGAAAGAATGAAGCAAAGAAGGAAGGAAGAAAAAAGAAAGAGGAAAAGGAAAGAAAAGAAAGAGAAAAAGAAAGAAATATTTGAAAAGATCTCTGAAGAACCCTTAAATCAAAATTGCAAAATGTGGACCCTTGGGTCAGACTAAGCCAGAAAATGTGTTGTTTGGCCTGCAAAGTCTGGAAAGATCTCAAGTAGTTCATCAACATTTCAAAATTAGGAGATTTCACACAAACACCAGTGCTTTGGTTTTGGCAGAGAACCTGGAGACTAGCTGACATTCCCGCTCAGCCTAATGACAGCCCCGGAATGGGCCAGCCTCCTGCCCTCAAAGAATCATACGCATTGTGTCACCTGCCAGAACGGGAAGGCATTGGAATTGGCTAGTGTTATTCAAATAAGCCTCTTACGAAGAGGCCAACTGCACTATTCCTTAATTTATACTACATCTTAACTTATACTACATCTATTTTTCTCTTCCATTTAAACTCAGATTTCTGCATTTGAATATACAGGTCCACTCTGACAAAGCAAACACACTCATCTCATAATACATCGCTTTGATATTAATTTGGAAATGTAATGGGAACATCATGTACAAAATACATCACTCAATAAAGTAAAGCATCAAACTACATTCTTTAAAAACGAGTAAGCATACCTCCAAGTCACTGTCAGGAGGTGGGGAAGGATTATTTTTTCGGCCTCTTCCTCGAGACTTTGAGCCAGAACTTCTACATGTTCTGTCATCAAGATCCTTGATAGGTGTGGAAGGGCTCTGCACTGTATCAAACTCTCCTACAAATAATACACAACTATAGTCAACACGTGTGCTTCATTTGTAGATCGGGCATAAGCCTCCATTGTTAGTTTTCTTAACAAATTCCTGTACAATAGAAACCTCTTTAAGTTGGTCAAACAAAACAGGATGTATTGTCTGAAGCATGCCTAATTCTAATTTAGTCAAAAATTTTTATGGACACACGAATCACCCTTTGCTTTAATCTATATGATCTATTAAAACCAAATGTGTTATCCTCCATTTGCCTTCAACTTCCTGCTTGTACCCTCACCTGCATTTTTATCAGATCCATTTCACTCCTCCACATCCTAACCTAGGGAATTACCTAGGGAATTACACACACTCATCAAGCCTCTCTCATCTGCCCTTTGACCTCCATGGACTTCAGACAAGTTACAAATTCCTTCTTCTTGGCCTTGCATTTCCACCTAGATAGTCTCTCCTTGCTACTGTCCCTTTCAAATAAAGCCTCTTAAAACCAGAATGAATTACCAATGCTATACAATAGAAATACGACAAGCCATCAATGCAACCACATAAATAAAATATTTTGGCAGCTACATTAAATAAAAGAGAGAAGGAAAAGACATGTAACATTAACTCACCTATATGAAAGTTAGTTCAATGTATGCAAATATCATTTCAGCATATAATCAATATACAAATTATCAGAGGGATATTTTATTTTTCTTTCCATCTAAGTCCATCCAAACCACAGCCTATCTTTCAGACTTTTTCTCAAATCGACTTCTGAATGTATTATCAAATTGATTTCTGAATCTCCTACCAGTATCTGAAATTCAGATCAATCTAAAGCTAGAAATAACTTTCTGAGGACTTAGAGGACACTGCACAGTGGTAGACCTTGCTAATGTTGATAAGACAAAGTATGCAGCCATGAGCTAGGGGGTAACAAATAAAAGAGCCAAACCTACTGTGGGACTTTTTCATTCACTCTCTCAATCTCCATTTCATTGTATATTAAAAGCCAGGTTACAGTTGTTACTTTTTTGGGTTACTAAAGTAAATCAGATTTATATTTAATCTTGTTTAAGTTTTATATATATATATATATATATATATATATATGTATATGTGTATATATATATATATATATATATATATCAAGAATTTTAGGAGCATCAGATGGCAAACACATTAAACTTGTTACACATTTTTAAGTGCAAAGATATTATGACTGAATTGAAGCAAATTTAGCTTTATCATTAAATAGAAGCAAAGTAATTCTCAAGACATCCAAATAGAAACTAATAAAGATAAATAAACTAGACAAACTAAATATACTTAGGTACATCTTTTTTTCTGAGAAATAGCAATATTTACATAACCTATCATTTCTTTCAGGCTATCATATTTTCTTTGGAAAATACGGAACATGTCAGGAGAGGATCAAAAATGTGTCTATGCTACAAAAATTATTATTTGTTCTTAAACTGTTGTCTGTGCGGTGTGCGGGCATATGTGTGTGTTATCACGAGTGAGACTAGATAGCACAAAGTTCTTAAGTTATAGCTTTTTCTTGTAGTGAGTCACATTTCAACTTATTTAGTGAGACTAGATAGCACAAAGTTCTTAAGTTATAGCTTTATCTTGTAGTGAGTCACATTTCAACTTATTTATATAGGCTTTAAATATTTGAACAGATATTTAAAAGTACATGTCTACTTTTAAGTAAAATCACATAAATCTTTTTGTAACTTTTTTTTCTTTTTTCCAATTGTGGGGCTTGAACTATGGGCCTAGGTGCTGTCCCTGAGCTCTTCAGCTCAAGAAGAGCGTTCTACCACTTGAGCCACAGTGCCACTTGTGGTTTTCTGGTGGTTAATTGGAGATAAGAGTCTCATGGACTTTCCTACCCAAGCTGGCTTTGAACCACGATCCTCAGATCTCAGCCTCTTGAGTAGCTAGGATTACAAGCATGAGTCGTGGGCACCCAGCCTGTAACTTTATTTTTTGAAGCATAGTTTTCCTAAGGTTACTATAGCCAGTAAATCTAGATTCCCCTTCAAATAAAACAGCTAGTTAAATAAATCCTCATTTTTTAAGGGGATTAAAAAAAAAACCTTTTTGGATGACAGTCTATGAAACCAGTCTTATTCATTTTGGATCAATTTTCAGGGGTTGCATTTCATTAAAAAGCCCCATTCTGAATTATAACAAGAAGGAAATACAAGAGCAGAAAAGAAAAATTTGCAAAATTTCCCTCATTGTGATCAGTTACATGTGGTTGATGGGACTGGATTCATGAAGGGACACAGTAGGAATGGGTCAGCCATTCCCCCTGGGATTCAGCAATGTGACAGTAGTGAAAAGAAAAGACAAGGTCAGATGATGTGTCAGATGAAAATTTGTTCCCACAGGTTTTGTTCAAGTCTTCGAAGGATCACAGTCTGAGGATCGCTGTTCCAAGCCAGCCCAGGCAGTAAAGTCTGTGAGACTCCTATCTGTATCCGTCTGAGACAAGCAGAAAAGGTCAGATAAGTTGATGTTAGCTGAAATGAACCCCAAGATAAGGATTCAAATGTTTTTTCTTTCTTGTGATTGTTTCTAACATATTTATAAGATATTTCTTTGTTGCTTTGTGTGTCCCTCCCCCATGGTATAACCCCTACTTTCACTGTATTTGATGTTGGTATAATTTGGGGAGGGGAAGGGAAAAAACAAATCGTTTAAATAGGGATACAGGTGGACCCATTGCAACAATGAGATGTACAAGTCGTTATGTGGAAAAATGAACTTTACAACTTTGGCCGGGTGGGAGTGGAGGAGAATGGAAAGGGATGGGAAGGGGAAACAAAGGAGGAGGCTACAATGCTTGATAAGAAATGTACTCATTACCTTGTCCATGTAATTGTAACCCCTCTGTATGGTATTTTCACAAAAAAAAAAAAAAGAAAAAGAAAAACACCAGAAGTGGGGCTATGGCTCAAAGTGGTGAAGTGCTAGCCTTGAGTAAAAGACCTCAGGGACAGTCCTGAGATCCTGAGTTCAAGAATCATGACTAACCAAAAAAAAAAAGGACCTAAGACTTTGAACAAAATACAAGTAAAGTGCATGTGTGTATATAAGGGAATCATTTTTATTGCTTGCTTTTTAAAAGTTTCTCTTTTTTTTTGACAAAAGGTTCATACTATATAGTTCAGGCTAGCATCAAAATTGTGACTCTACTGATCATTGGTTAGGGACTCAAACAACTCGATAGTATGCAAACAAATAACATGATCTTTAAAAATGTGCAAAGGGTCTGAGTAGATTTGTTCAGAGCAATTGTGCTTACTGGGCAAGGTGCTCTACCCCTTAAGCCATGGCCCCAAAGGCAGCATGCAAATTTCTTTAAAAACATATATAGATAGTGAGAGGTCTTTGAAAAACTGATCTATTTCACCTCACACTTGTGAGAATAGCTAGTTCCCAAAGACAGAACAGTATGAGTGTTGGAATCTTTGCAGTCTACTGGTGGGACTTTAAATGAGTACATCATTATGGAAATTAGTACAGAGACTTCTTGAAAACTTAAAAACAGGATTGCCAAATGATGCAGCAATTCCACTACTATAAATACAAAGGAAATGAAGTTAGTATGTTGAAGATAGTATGCATCTTTATGTTCACTGAGTATTATTCCCGATACGGAACATTTGATCCCACAGAAATAGAGAGTAGAAATGAACTACGGGCAAGGAGGAAAGGTACCTATCAAAGGTTACAAAATTTCAGTTAGATAGATAGGGTTAAAGAGATTTTTATATTATGATTATGTTAACAACAATGTATTATGTTTTTGCAAATTGCTAAGAGAATACCTTTTAAGTGTTCTTACCGCAAAAATGATGTATATGTGGTAATGCATGTATTAGCTGGATTAGTATGCATTTGTGTGGCCAAAGTCACATGTTATACATGATAAATATGTACAAGTGATTATTTGTCAATTTAAAAATATTTCAAAAGAAAGATGCAGATTTCATACATTTTCTATGAGAGAGGTGACAAGAAATTTCACTGAAAGAACTTTCTGGAAATAATAGATGACTTCCAGAAGAGTGTGGTAATACTTCCTGTGTGGGCACAATTCCCATGTGGACACACTTTGTGAGGATAAAACTAGTATTTAGTAGGCTCCTCCAGACATCAAATGGGTGCAATTGTACTGACCTCTAAGCTTTTTGAAGGTGCTAGCCTGAAAAGAAAAACCAGGAACTTGAGTTGAACTGCTCATTGAGCATTAGTAGATGCATGATGATGATGATGATGATGATGATGATGATGATGATGATGATGATGATGATAATGATGATGATTTTTTGGGGGGGGGAGAGAGAAAACTGTTCAATCTAGAGCTTCTGCCAATGTCATTGGGGAAGCTGCACAAGGGCAGGTGCAGCTGCAGGAAGGAGAAATGTAATTTTGCAGAATTGTGCAGTGTGGTCTCTCTTTTCCATCTATATCTTCTTGTGCATTTCACTAGATGATAAACACTTTGCTTATGAAGTTACAGAAGTTCTGCCTAAGAAGCCAGTTTCTTTCTTTCTTTTTTTTTGGTTCCAGTCGTGGGGCCTGAACTCTGGGCCTGGGCGCTGTCCCTCAGCTCTTCAGCTCAAGGCTAGCGCTCTACCACTTGAGCCACAGCACCACTTCCGGCTTTTTCTTTTTGCTTATGTAGTGCTGAGGAATTGAACCCAGGGCCCCATGCATGCAAGGCAAGCACTCTACCACTGAGCCACCTTCCCAGCCTGAAGCCAGTTTCTTTTCAGAGAGAAAGACTGATTTTACTGGCTACCTTTCTGGAACACTTGCTAAGTTTCATTTTCTAATGTATTGTAATGTTTATAAAGGTCTCAGGCTAAAGGATCTCAGGCTAAAGGATATTATTGTTGCAAATTACTAACCTCACTTAATATAAAGATGTTTAAAATATTTAAAGAGGTTTAAAATGATCTCTCATCTCTATGTGCTAGTCTATTCTCAAACTTTCAAATGCAAATCAAAAATATAATTCACCTTAGATGAACTTTATATAAAGGCAAAGGAAAACCTTTATAACTATAATGAACTAAAATGTCTGTTTCTAATCAGCACAGTAGTGTTTCTTTAAATCCATTGTCAAACTACCTAATAAGGTAAAATAAATAACTGAATGCTATTTGCAATTTCCAAATAACATCAGTCATTACCAACTGCCCTAGGCCTTTCTACATGATTGAATAATTATCCTTTAATCAGTACAGTAATGAATAACTGCCCTTTGCAAGTTTTGGATATTTAGATCCAACTTTATTTCATTAGGGTTATCTCTAAATCAGAACAACCAGCTGTCTTTTATTGAACATAAGGTATGTTTCTATTTTAAAATTTCAAGTCCCACAGTCAATGTTCTATGAAAAATTGTGGAATTAATTGTTAGGTCTGGGTTGAGGGTCCAAAATGCAGAATCGATTAATGGGAAATTCTTTCCCTGCCCTTGAACTAAATCCAACAGATTTCATCATTAATAAAGAAAAATTCCCATCGTTATAAATTTGTTCACTTCATTGAATGCATGCCAGATCAGAAAAAGGCAAAAATCAAAGTTAAAAGCAAATATCTGAGGCTACAGAATTCCTTAAAAACCAGACATGTGTATTGCCATGATTTTGGCTGAGAGTATAACAGTTTCAAGTAGAAATAATTTCTTTTTTTAAGTTCAACAGTTTAATGAAATGTGAAAATAAGTCAAAACTGTATTTTTTTGGCAACCAGTGGAAACTTGAAGAAATCACAGTATTCTGATGTGAATTTGACATGGCCGCCTGTGAATGTGGACTTTTCAAAGTCCTCCGCTCAGCTTAGCTGCTACCTTTTGTCAGTATCTTGAGCAGGAATAAAATAGGTATTCAGAATATTAGAAAAATCTTTGGCTAATGAAAAGCTAGCATCTCTGTCTTTCCCTGAGAGAAACTTTGCTGCGATCATGTGGAAATTAGAACAGCCAACCTAAGATGACACAGCAACTAGCTTATCTAAGAGTGTAAATAACTTCTATTCACGGAGGACATAGTCTAGTCACTTCAAAAACACCCTCCGGGTCCTTTGTTCCATTCCGTCTCTGATAGTATGATGACGAGCACTTCTGTCGTTTCTTTCTGAGCCGTCACTCTATCTACCTGGTTTCCTCCCATGATTCACTAAGAAAAATCCGTTCCTAGTATGATGAAGAGTAACACAAATATCAGTTTACCTACATACAGTATCTCTCTCCATGACTGATTACGGATTCAGAAATCATGCAGTCTTTGAAATAAGGCCCCCTCCTTGATAAGTATGGACTCAAAGAAGATAAAGGTAGATTCAGAATATGTGACTAAGACTGGGACATCCAGTGCAAAAGAGAAAGAGCCGCCCCTTCAATTCCGGGCCCCAGCTAATTCACCAGCCTGACCCTGGGACTGCTTCTACATGATGTGCAAATGCTCAACCAAGGAAAGGATGGCTGGGAAGACTAAACATGAGCTTTAAAAGCGACAAGAGTCAGATTTCAAAGGTCCTGTGTGCTCACAGGAGGAGAACTGAAGGAAGACAAGGGGAAGGAAACGGAAATGCAAGGCACCAAAGACAAATTACACCTTCTAGGTAGTTTTTCTTGGGTTCACCATTAGAGGTGATGTTGTGGTCTCTCCTCAATTACGGAGAACACATTCCAAGATGCTCCACAGAGCTTTGAAGCCACAGACAATGATAGTATGACTTTGCCTATACATACACACAGCTATGATAAATGTTGTGGGAATATAATAAGAAAAAATAAAAGTTAGGAAAATCACTAAAAACGTGTAGTTTGCTTATTTTTAGAACTTTGCTTTTAATATTGTTGGATTAGATTTGATTGACGCAACGAGATGTGAAATGATGGCCAGAATGTGATGGACTTCTCTATTCCAAACACAGCACCAAGAAAAATGAATGTTGTACTGTTTGAAAAGAGATGTATTCATAAGATGACTTACGTAACTGTAACCTCTATGTGCATCACCTTTACAATAAAACTTTAAAAAGAATAACAAAGGTTACCATTTCATCTATTCATGATATAATCCCATTTTAGCTATTGCTTAAGAAAATAAAAAGCTGGGAGCCGGTGGCTCATGCCTGTAATCCTAGCTACTCAGGAGGCTGAGATCTGAGGATTGCAGTTCAAAGCCAGCCTGGGGAGGGAAATCCATGAGACTCTTATCACTAATAAGCTACCAGAAAATCAGATGGCACTGTGGCTCAAGTAGTAGAGCACTATCCTTGAGCTAAAGAGCTCACGGACAGTACCCAGACCCAGAGTTGAAGCCCCAGGATTGACAAAAAAAAAAAAAAAAGAAAAAGAAAAAAAATCAACTTCACTGTTACTTCTTTATGTCCAAGTTAGTTTACTTGTTAATATTTTTCATATTAATCTCTTTTCCTTTTTCTTAATATTCCTCGCTATTAGAGATATTTGCTTGATCTTTGTCTTGTTAAACAAAAGTAATGGTGCAAAGAGGGCTCATACAATGCTCAAATAACAAAGTAACATTTGCTCACCTTATGCTGGAATGTAAGAGAAATTCAATGAATTAGCTTGTTAATGAAACTGGGTTGTTTGGCTCTAGTGGCCCAGTTAGAAAGGGTTCAGTATTGTGAGTGTACTCCTTGCTTACCCCACTCCTTTCACAGATGGATAAAACAAAAGTGGAGGATGAATTCTTTTTATTCTTTTTATTTGAATTCTGGATTACAAGTCCTTATCAGATATATGTTTTGTAAATACTTTCTCTAAATGGTTTACTTTATTTTTGTGATGAAGTGTCTTTCAAGGATTGATTCTTAATTTTATGAAGTCTAATTTATCTTTTCTTTTTTTTCCCCCTAAGGATTGTGACTCTAGGGTCAAAACTACAAAAATCTTCATTTATCCAGAGTAAAAATGATTTTGTCTATGTTTTAGTTTAGGTTTTTACATGCAGCTTATGATTCATTTTGAGTTAATTTTATACACAATTATGAGATTCACTTTTCTTTTATACATAGATATCCAGTTTCCCCAGTATGGTTAAAAAATGCATTTTTCATTCAATTATCAACAGCTTCGCCCTGTTGGTTCACACCTGTTATCCTTGCTACCCAGGAGGCTGATATATGAAGATCGAGGTTCAAAGCCAGTCCAGGAAGGAGTCTGTGAGATTCGTATCTCCAACTAATCACCAAAAAGGCAGAACTACAGCTACAGTTCAAATGGAAGAGCCCTAGCCTTGAACAAAAGAGTTCAAGCCCCCAGTATTTGTACACACACACACACACACACACACACACACACACACACACAAACACACACACACACAGAAAGTCTCCTATCTGTTCCATATCAAAAATGTTTTTGGAATGCTCAAAGAAACTCATCTTATACTGATATAGCTTAAACATAAGCACAATTGTTTTGGCATTTTTTTTAGGCATGGTTTCGAAATGTCTTTCTCCATGTCATTAGATAGCACAAAACATTTAAAAGTGAAGATCTGTACCTGGTTGGCTAGTCAGTCCTGGGAGAGATTCCTGCAGCTGATAGGTTGAGGTTGATGAAGATGTGCCGTCAGCTGTGTTATTTGATGTCATATATGCTCCATACGTTGATGCTGAATAATACTGTGCATATTGGTTTTGGCCAAAGGCTGTATAGGATGGATACTCCTGAAACGAGTCATTGAAATGTGTATGTTTGAAGGAGACATTACTCTGTAGTATGCCAGGAACAAGCAAAAGAAAACAGTCATTATGTCAATGAAGATGAGTACTTATTACAGATCATTGTGTGTGCAAGGGCACGTTAAATAATGGCTTTCCTCTATTGGTTTTGTAAAAACTAAATTGCAATCTAACAAAAGGTTGCATATACTTCATTTTGCTTCCCACAGTTACTTAACCAAGGACAGATGCACTGGAAGAGTAATAGAGGTAGAACTAGTTCGTGTTCAGGAAATTAGTTGTTCCATATCTTCTAACACCATCATGGAGGAGCTGTTGTCAGCTCTCCCATCTGCTACACAGACCTCGGTGTGGACTTTTAAATATATGGTTTTGTTTCTTCTTCTTGGCTACTCTTGGTAATTTTATTTTCTTAGTGGAAGTATAGAAAAAAAATAAACACAGATTACCAGCTTCTCACAGTCCATCCGAGGCTGGATTTAAAATCTTCAGTGAAGTTTTCAACTATTTAGCTTTTCTCTTTTGTTGCACACAAAAATGAAAGCATTGGATTACCTTCTCTAACTTGCTTTATTTTTGTTTAAAAAAAGCCGAAGACCTTTCAAACAGTAAGAGTGCTCCCTCAAAATCCTTTTGCATATTACGATGATGAAGGATCTGTTGTGATAGATGATCTTGAATATATCTACCATGTTTGGACCAAATTGTTATCAGTGATGACAAATCCTTGGTCAGGATTAAGATTCCCTGTTGAGACAAGTACTGAAGGCAATAAAAATCCTCCATTGATGTGCTTTCCAAAGATGAAAATTCTTTTTATAAGTATGTGTATTATCACAAAGAATTAAGTAATAAGGCAGAAAACTAAAAGTAGTTTGTTAATTTCAAAATCAACTATTCCCCACCACTACCTGTGAGTAAAGGGGGGAAAAGTGTCAACATTTGAACAAAGTTCTTAGCAACTTGTCTTTCTTAGAGTAAAATGTGATTGCTAATGATTGCACAGTACTGCCTGTGTTAAGGCACAGTTCTGAGGATAAATAGACTTGCTTACCTCATCTTCACAACCTTCTACATGGTGTAGTGATTATTTCCAGTCTACTATAAAAAAGACTAACGTACAGAACTTCGAAGTGATTTGTACACAGGCCATGCAGCCAGTAAGTTTCTGAGCTGGCATTCTACCTCTAGCCTCTGTGGGCTGAAGCTGTTAAGCCTGCCAAGGCCCTGAGAGGAAAAGGGAGTCACAGATTGGCAAGATTTCCCTGAGCCTCTGGGGAATAGGATGTCTCTAAGATCTCCAGTTCTCTTCATTTCCACTCCTATCTCTCTTATCTAAGCTACCTTCCCATCCTGTTGCAACAAATGTACTTGTTTTCTAATTTACCTCCTTTTCATTTGTTTGGCTTTCTCCAAAAACCATGACACCAGAGTAAATTTTCAAAACATAAATTCTTCTCCTCAGAATCCAATGGTTTCCCACTGGGCTGAGAATAGGATCCAAGTGTCTTTCTGGAATCCCCAGCATCTTACGTGAACTGGCTGGCTGCATTTCTTCAACGGTGCGTCTCCCTGCTTTCCCCCTTGAACTTACTACACCAGCCTGCCTTGAGTCTTCTATTGCTTGGGGATCTGCCTCTTGCTATTTTCTTTGCCGGGATCACCCACAGCCTCATTCTTCCCCTCAAACTCTTAGAATTCTTGGCCTCAATGCAGTTTCAGTAGGGAGAGCTTCTACCAAAACTTCCCTATCTAAAATTAGGTTTTAACTCCAAATTTTTAAAATTAGAATACAGTCTACTAAAAATTTGTTATTTATAATTTTTTTCATGGGTTCATGCTTATGTTCATTGGTTCTTTGGTTTTCCGGTCATTGGTTTATATTCTCCATATGTCACAAGTTCATGAACCAGGAATGAGGTCCTAACCAGTACTACCACTACCTGCATATTTGCCAGTATACAAAGCCCAGCTTCCAATTCCTATAGCAGTCAATGTTTTCTCAAAGGGTAAACTAATACTCAAAGCAGGGTCTAAAATACAAATTATATTTTATGCGAGTTTTATGAGTTAAACCTGGTAAATAAATTTTCTTCTTAATACAACTTTATAGTCCTACTAGTACAATGGAATAATCATTTCTTTATGCTAAGGTTTTCTCTAATGTTTACTCCTATTATCATATTCCACGTTCTGCTCACATGATTTTATGTCTGTTTCTTTAGGAAGACTGCCCTTCAAGAGAGCAGAAAACAAAGGAGATTTTTGCAACTTCAATGCCTATTCAAACTTATTAGGGCTGCAAGTGCTTAATGTGTGCTATACTGATCAATAAATAAGTTAAATTAAGCTATTACGATTTCTTACTTTTATACCTTTCTATTGATATCTTTCAAGAGTTGGTATTTAACAAAGCAGCTTATGAATACAATATATTGTTTGAGACAGAGTCTTGCTATAGAGCTGGCCTCAAACTCCCTCTTTTTCTTCCTTATCCTCCCAAGTGCTGGAATTAATAGCTGTGACCCACAAAGCCCAAATCAATTTTTAAATAAAATTTGTATAGTGACTTTAATATTTAGAGAGTTAAGGTATTATTTTTAACTAATGCCAAATTACACATTTTAATTCTATAAAATGTTTTAACTCCACAGTATTTCAATAATAAAGTTTTCCCTTTTTTCTTTTATTAAGCTACATGAAGGCAATTAATAAGAGCTCCTTCAATAAATCCAAAGAGCAAGCACTTCTGGGGCAATTTACATTTAAAAACATTTGAAAGGTCAGCAATTATATTAAAGCAAATAGCATATTGTCTGTCCAGAAATCACCTTTCAGTATCTATTACTCTTCATGATTGAAAAATCAGAAAATAAGGAAAAGGATTCTGAAGTCAATGTAGAATGCATATTATCAAATTGCCACATTGTGTATCCAGAAATGCTCACTTTTCCTCCACATACTAACACCTAGTTTAACATCCTAGAATTTAACATGAACATAAGTTCATAACCAAAGCAGGAAAGCTCTGCTGTCAGAAGAGGTTGGGAATCCAACATTTAATAAAAGAAATGATAGAACTAAGCAATGAATAGGTGTTATGTTTAGTAACTAGTTACCTTCAGGGACTGGGAAAGTTTTAGTGCCCCAACACCATCCCATTTTTTGAAATTACAGTTCCATTATTGATTGATATTCATAATTCTAACTGTTTTATCCAGGGAAATAAAACTGTTTCAAGTACAGTTTAAGATAACAAGCAAGTATACAATATAGTCAATAACCATGTCAGGTGATTAAAATTAATACTACTGAAATGGTCAAACAAGTATTTGTTTAACAACAAATACTAAATAGCCAGAATGACAAGTATCTCAAAAGTTCTGAATATATGAGTTTTTTATTATCCTGTAATGTTAGGTTAGTTTCAAATGAAGACATCTTATATTTGGAGAATGCATACTTATTTTAAAATCTTCAATTATGATGAGTGTTTTTTAAAGCACAAATATAAAAACAACACCATACCTGTTGTGAACCACTGAAATTTGTTGAGTTGGAAACCGAATTATTTGCATAAATGGTAGATGATGGTGCAAAACTAGAACCTAAAGGCAAAGAACAAATTGAATTTTAAAACGTTACATACTAATTCACTCATGAACGAGAAGACATTTTGGTCATTTGTAACAGTCTGGTTAGAACAAAAGGGCATCATGTGACATGCCAGACAAAGAAAATAAATAGTGCACTAGTGTATGAAACCTAAATAGGTTGTTCTCATCGAAGCTGAGAGTAGGAGTTATCATGGTAGGGTTTACGGAAAGGTAAGGAAGGACTGTCAACAGACACCAAGTCATGTGTCACATTTTTTCCAGAATGCTGGAGGAGGGGATTTTGAATGTTTTCACCGCAAAGAAATTACAAATGTTTGAGCAAGCAGATATATTCACCGTGATTTCAACACTGTATTGTATACCATGTGTCAGAACAGCACATGTGACCGCAGAAATACGCCTAATTACTCAGTATACATGAGAAAAGCAATCATTTCCCTATCAGAAGCAAATTTTCCTCACAGAAATGTTGAAAAATATTTTACATTGAAAAATTAAGTGAAGGAAACATTGTTTGGATTTCGTGGTGCGATTTGGAGTTGGAGTTTATATGGTTGGTTTAGCTTCCCCCACCTTCCTCATAGCAGGTAAAACCTTCTGAAGGGAACGTGGTGGGCTGAATGAAGGCAGAACAGAAACTGCCTTTCGCTGACTCAAATTAACATTCAAGAGTTGAGTGTCCATAGCACGGATAGCAAGGAACTCGAGAAATAAGCTGTGATTTATTAACTTGGAGTTCCCAGAAATTTGTGAATGTTTCAAGTTATATAGAGAAATGAGTAATGTTAAACATTTGGATGGGTCATGGGTTAGGCAATGAACTCACAGAATTCATCTATAGTTAGTTCTTACCCTCCCTGTCTTTTTGTTTTCTGTCCTGGATAGGTGATACTGTATGTATATAAGTTTTGAAGGCCTTTTAAAATTTGACTATAATGTTTGAAATGTATGTGCTTAGTTTGGGGTGCATCGATTACAGATTTTTTTCTTTTGAAGTATTTTCTTATGGACTGTACTCGTTAAAGAGGTAAAGTGAAACACTTGAGACATCTAATTACCTATTTCATTAGCGAGTGTGAGTGAGTGAGTGTGTGTGTGTGTGTGTGTGTGTGTGTGTGCATGCGCACACACACATGCTCGTCCTGGGGCTTAAATTCAGGGCCTAGGCACTGTCCCTGAGCTCTTTTACTCAAGGCTAGCACTCTACTAGGAGGCACAGCTCCATTTCCAGCTTTTTGGTGGTTAATTGGAGATAAGAATCTCATGGACTTTCCTCCCTAGACTGGATCCAAACTGTGACTATCAGGTCTCAACCTCCTGAATAGTTAGGATTATGGGCATGAGCCACCAGGGCCCAGCAACACACAAACATGTTTTCAGTAATGTTATGCTATATAACCAAAACAATTAATTTGGTCCAGAAAAGCCATGTGACTATATGTGGGCAAAAATAAGTATGTCTTTATACTCTGTCTTAAACTACTAACTAAAGCCATTGGAAATACAGTGTGTATGCAATTATATTTCAGCTTCTATTCTAGGTAAAAAAAAGAGACCTGCCATTCCAGCCCAAAAATGTCTATTGTATTTTAGTCAACTGACTAAATTGTTAAAATAGTTGTTCCAAATATATTAATTTAGCCCTAAATTTAGGAATAACAAATAGACAATAGATAATAATTAGCTTTATGTGTTCTTGCTATGTCCCTACAATTCTTTCTAAAACTATTATATGATGACCAAACATAATTTTTAATTGATGTCAAAAATGAGAGATTTTTTTTAAAGGATCCTAAATGAAAGGTTTGGAAATATAATGAATTATATAAATAATCCTATTGGGAAATAAAGTATCAATAGGGAAGCCGGTCTTTGGAACAAAGATATTCTTCATCATTCAATAATAAGTAGAACTTTAGAAAGTGCTAGTGTGTGTGTGTGTGTGTGTGTGTGTGTGTGTGTGTGTGTGTGTGCGCGCATGCTCTAGTCCTGACCATGCACTCAGAGTCTGGCTACTTTTTTACTCAAGGCTGGTGCTCTACCATATGAACCACAGTTTCACTTCTGGCTTTTTGGTGGTTAATGGGAAATAAGAATCTCATGTTTTTGTCTGCTCAAGCTGGTTTTGAATTGATCCTTAGATCTTGGACTCCAGTTTAGCTAGGATTTACAGGCATGAGCCACTAGTGCCTTATTTTTAAATACAATCAAAAGAACATGACATTTCTTCTGGAATACTGAGAAGAAAACATAGATTTGTCTAAGGAATATAACTTAGCTAAGTAGACACTAAACATGTGATTGACTGACCTGGTGATGGCTGGCCTGAAGCCTGCTTGGCTTGGACATGGTTTCCTGCCTTTTTATAAAGCTTAAAATTAAGTATTTGCATTTTGTATGAGTCATGTCCACTAATATGTATTCAATTACTTACATCAGGCTTCTGTGCAATTATTTGTCTTTTCTTAAGAAGCTGTCCTCATGTGTATGTCTTAGACTGAAGTCAAAGAGTCACATTGAAAGGATTTATTCTCACGTAACAAGTGTCTTGAGTGCTTGCTTACCTGGCATTTGGTAAGAATAAGGTGCCTGTCCTGGCTGGGGGGTGGAAAAGCCCGGACTGTAACTGAGGCAGCCACTCTGTAATGGGGACTGAGTTTGAGCAAGTCCACTTTCTGTCTTGATGGCGGGCAACATCACCCCCAAATCTGTTTGGAAAACAAATGTGCAAAGGACTTCATGAACAAAAGGATCTTCCTTCGGAGCTGAAACTCATATGAACAATGTATATCTACTCGCTAGCAGAACTACCCTGCTTGTAAACAAAGAAGAGAGAAAACGTGAAATACCGTAAGTGGGCAGGCTGTAGGGCTGTCCTGTCTGTGAGTAGGCTGTGTAGACCGCTGGCTGCTGCATCCCCGAATACTGAGTCTGGCCCGCATAGGCAGACATTGTTTGAGCTGCTGGTGTAGAAAGAATGTGTGGATAGGGCCTAAATATCAGAAAAATAGCATTACTGTGGCAACAAAGACTTCATATTAATTCAGACAGCTTAGATTCAGTGAAACCCTAAAATATTCAGGGAGTAATCCTCCTCTCATCCACAACAAATTTTTACAATGTAGGAAAGTATAAGAGTTCCAATGTCAGGAGCCTAGGCTGTGCTACAAATCAGTCTGATGACCTTGGATAAATAAATGAATCCCCTTGAGAATGCTTCCTCTGTAAGATGAGAAATTGGTTTAGATGTGACCACTCACGTCTCTTCCACATCCATCATTCTTGTTATATCTAAACAGCACTCCAGTTAATATATAGAAGAGAAAAATGGAGTACAGGCCAGTTAAGAGCTTTGTGAGCCTATTTGTACTGAGTGACCTAATGCTGCACAATGATTACAAATTTTTATTTAAAAGCTCTTCCTCAAATTAACTGGAAATCCTTCCTTGTAACTGGAAATCTTAGAAAGAAAGAGAAGGAGTAATATTCCTGAAAACAAGGGAATTCTATTTTCCCTTCATCATGCCATAGTTCACATAATGTTCCCTTTATACTTAGGGGTATTCTAGATGTAACAAAATGGAACACACGGTGTGTGTGTGTTAGTCCTGGAGCTTGAATTTGGGGGCTGGGTATTGCCCTTGAGTTTCTTTTGCTCAAGGCTATCACTGTACCACTTGAGTTACAGCTCCACTTCTAGGGTGTGTGTGTGTGTGTGTGTGTGTGTGTGTGTGTGTGTGTGTGTGTGTGTGTGTGTGTGTGTGTGTGTGTGTGTGTGTGTGTGTGTGTGTGTGTGTGTGTGTGTGTGTGTGTGTGTGTGTGTGTGTGTGTGTTATTGGAAATTTACTGAAGATTAGAGTCTCATATGGTTTTTCCTGCCTGGACTGGCTTCAAACCACAATCCTCATATCTTAGTGTGCTGAGTAGCTAGGATTACAGGTGTGAGCAAACAGTGCCCAGCTCTGAACACATATTTTATGTGTATCAGGGATTGAAAAACATTCCCAATCTTTTGAATCCTACACAAATTCAAGTATACCTGACACAGTTCAACTTGAAATATCTACCACTGTCTTCAATAAGGTGACTACAGCAGTTATCAAAACAATAAAAAATATTCTCTACAAATATCTTTTATTGTATTATGAAATTCAATAAAATATTTTGGTGATGGAATCAACTATGAAGTGTTGATACTTGAGGTGTCAGTAAAATAAGATCTCTTTATATTTTCTATAAACTAGTTGACATCTTAGAATTTTCATAAAACAATTGAACATATAGATTTAACCTGGATAACCATCTAGAACAAAAGAATTGATGTGTATAAGGGTATGTATATTACACAAGTAACATCTTTATTTCTATTCTATATGCTTCCTTAGATGCTTAATCTATGCAAATAACCATCTAGCCAATTATCTATCATTAATACACTTATATCTATGAATGTATGCCAAATTAAAGTTGTGATATTATGTGAATACAAATTTCTAAATGGGATTCCAGAAAATGGATCTAACAACACTGAGTGTACTGAGCACTTACTTGGAAGGGTACAGCTGTGGGGAATACTGGTGCGCCGACCTTGGGCTGTAACCACTACTTGTTATTACTGTAAGACACAATGAAACCATGCACAAAAAGTTGCTTCATGAAACCATCACACTACAGTGTTATATTACCCATTTAGAGCTTACCATGTCAATACATTTTTTTCTAAGAAATCTGTTGACCTTCTGAAGTTTATTTTCTAAAAAGAAACAGCAGCTGAAATACTTTCTCCAAATTAACTGCTTCTCATCTTGTAAGAACACGAAATGGACCTTCTTCTCACGTATCATTCTACCACTTTTCCATTTTTGGGAGTTAGAAGCAGGATCATGGATGGACATGATATGAATACATATCTTTGGATTTAATACAATTAAACTTGCATGATGTGACTAAATGCTTTAACATGTGCAAACTTTGCATCTTATACATAGCTACAATATATTGCCTATTTTTCTTCATTAAAATAAAATGATTATTAAAGAAAAAGTTGATAACTATTGAGAAAGCCAACCTACATGCCTTAATAGAAAATGCTATTGTTTCTATTTTCTTTTACATTAGCTATCAGACAAATAATTAAAATACAGAGTCCAAAAATACTCTAGTGAAAACTGGAATATACATAGAAAGGGTCATTAGAACATACTAGCAGTTTTCTTGACAAGTATATTTTGGACTATCAGAGATGATACTTTTTCTGACAAGAACTTAAAAGTCAAAGTCAAGTTCTTTGTAACATCTCATCCAAATACCTACTCCAAACTGGACTATATCCAAAATGTTTGCAAGTTTCTCTTTCTTTTAGACATCTGCCTTGACAAAGACGGATGTATTGCAAATGTATGGACTCTAAAGTGTTAAGCGGGCCCTCTCAGAGCCAATCCATGCCGGGCAAGCACACAGAGTGTCTTTATTAGGCCATCTGCTGTTCATTCACTTTTCAAAAAGATTAAAGTAGTACACAGTGCAGTGCTGGAATTAGTTTGGTCTAATCAATCAAAGTTATACTTCAAAGTACTGTGCCCTTTCTTAGGTGGTTCACAGTAATTCTGGAATGAAACTTTCAGAATTTGTAAAAAGTGACAAATAGGTTCAAGTTGCTAACTATTTTATGAAACAGGATATATTTCTATTTTAAATACTATTACATACCTTTGTGATCTACTGCCTCACAAACACTCAGAATTTAATCAGTTTAAAATATATGTTTCCTATAGGCTAGATACGGGAAACCTGCTTTAATCGCCATAGTGGAGTAAGTACATGCATAAAATTTTTTGAATCAACTTTGAACATCATGAAGTATGAATAGAGATGTTATGTTCTAAACATTTTTAAGAACTAAAATTTAAATAAGTTTGTTATGAGTGGCTTGAAATAAATTAACTGATAAATCCTTAATTTGTTACTCAATTTTCTAAGAACCTAAAATATAGACTTTAATACTTTCAACTCAACTTAATGAGAACAGACTTTGGATTTTACTCCATTAGTCACCAAAACGTAAGATGTAATAATGTTATTCCACAGCACACTCAGTCTAACTTAAGTATTCTCAATAGTGAATACTTTCTTTAACAGCAATTCAGTTCAAAGAGGCATTAGTTACAAGATATTTTGTCTTCTAAAATGTAATTTCTTGTTGTTACAGTTAAAACTTACATTAAGTCTACTAATCAGTTATTGTAAAAATTGGAAAAAGAAGGGTTTTCAAAAAAACACATGATATAATTACAAACAAGAACTCCCTATAGCAGTTTTAGTTAAATAAGGCAAAGCACAAAAGTCTGTTCCTCAGAAGAAAACCTAGACATGAATACAGTTTTGAAGATGTAGGATGTTTTCTTCTTTTGAGTGAATCTCGACACCATTAACATAATAAACCCATAACACTACAAATGCTCAAATAACTGTCGACATATGCCTGCATGGTAATTTTCTAAATACAAGACAAAACTGACTCAGAAGTTTTGGCCACATAAGGAACAAAAACTGAAGAGTTCATACTTCTTTACTAAAATTTATTCCAATGCAAACTGTAGCTAAAACAAAATTGGACTTAGTGAGTTGTTATTATGCTGACCAAAACAAACCAGTCCCTACAAAGGCAACTCAATCCCCAAGAAGATAGGTGGCAATGCCATGCACAAATTTGAAAGAACATTTTTAATCCTCATCATGATTTAATTAACCATAAACAATACCCAAGACTTATTATACTTTATCATTTCTGCATACAAAAGTAACCACAACTGATTATCTCCAAATGCATTAGTCTGAAGGTTAATTTTTCAAAATCTATTAATTTTATCAGTTTGTGAAAGCATGATGTCAAGCAATTTTAAGGGTTTCTTTTTTTTTTTTTATCATTATAATACCTTAGATCACCAACTCTCAATAGGACGAGAAGTGGGGAGAATTTTGCATGCCAGGATATATTCTGATGCGTTACAACTGGGGCAGGATGCTACTGATAGTCAAGGCAAATGAAGGATACTGCTGAGCACCTTACAATGCTTGGTGAAGTTTCTTGGGAATGCATTTTTCTTTAATGGTTCTAGGAGAGTCCCTGCCTCAGATCCCTGCTGACTACCAGAGCTCGCCATGGTGCTAGGCACATTCTACATCTCTGTGCCACCAGACATGGGCAGCAATTAAGCCCTAGAAATGTGGCTAGTGTGTCTCCAACTACAAATATTTATTTTACCAAATTTTAATTGATTTAAATTTAAAAAGTTACCTGTAAGAACGGCTATTTTGTTGGGCTGCATAGCTCCAAAATGTTCTTTTAAAAAACCTAAGGAACTATCTGGGAATACAATATGAATCTGATTTCAAATAATAAATTTTCCATTTGGTAATTATCAGTGGAGTATGATGGAAAAGACTCAGAGACTAATTATTGGTATATGGTTCTAGATTTGTCTATATCACTACCATGGATTAGGGTTTTCATTCCCCTTCCCCACTGCCTCCACTTTGTTACTCAAGTTTTGAACTCAATGCTGCATGCTTGCTACACAAGCACTCTACCATTTGAGCCACGCTCCAAACTCTTTTAACTTTATCTTTCAGACAAGATTTCTATTGTTTTGCCAGAAACTGGCTTCAGACTCCATTCTTCCTACCTTTGCCTCTCATTTAGCTGGCATTATAGGCATTTGTCACCATGCCTAGCTTGTTCCTTGAGGTTGAGTTTCCCTAATTTCATCAAGGTTGGCCTTGGAACGTGATCCTTTTCTACCTTCCAAGTCACTGGCATTACAAGTGTGAGCCACTATGCCTGGCTCTATTCAGGTCTTAACCATGTGGGCACAACTGTATGGTGTTCTTGTCTGCAAAATGAACCAGAAGGCTCTGAAAATCCTCTGGGGCAAAGATTCTATACTTTTTTGTCATTCAACTTTTCATGAATGTGTAAACTCTTGAAGCATGATGCCCATTACTTTATAATTACACACAATTCCTTAAAACCTACCCGCATTCATTTACTTTGCAGACTGTTTGCAAGAGTTACATTAGCAAGTGAACAGCACAGTATAACAGAGGGTGGTGGTAGCTATTTGTTTCCTGGGGAGGCAGATTAATTGCTACAAAGAATGCAGACTAGCACATAAGGACCTTTATGCAATGTTGGCTGATGTACTACTACTGTTTATCTCTGTTTGGAGTACTAACGTTTATGTGAACACATGGCAAGTACATGGTGAGAACTGTAAGCCTGGATCAGCTGTGCTTCCAAAAAAGTAGCATTATCCACTGACATGACATTTAAGGACATACTGCAATTTTTTTTTACATAGAGTACTCCCATATGAAATCATCACAGATGAGATCATGGATGGATATAAATACAATACAGCAGAATAAAAGAACTAGGACTGAATAAGCCAAGCAAAGTAACTAAAACAAAAAAAAAAACTTGTGTCCCTTGCACCCAGCTGGGAGTTATCAGGTATTTTATATCCTATAAGGATTGATGTTTAGAGACACTCTGTTGCTCTCTTTGAAGCAAGGCTGCTCTCAGAGGCTGATTCTAATGCAAGCAGCATGTGTTCTCCGGCAGTGCATTAACCTTTAATACTTGTCACTCAACTGCCATACAGGAGGACTTTCTTAAACCAGAAAAGGAAACAAGCTTATTTAGAAGAAATCAAATGGGATAGTTTTACATCTAGAATGGTGGATGGAAAAGGCAGTTTTGAAATATAATTTAAATAGACAGTTGAAGGAACAAAGTTTGCAATGATGACCTACTGATGAAATTCATCAAACATTGTATGAAATAAGATGAAGACCAGGCACTGGTGGCTCATACCTGTAATCCTAGCTATTCAGGAGGCCGAGATCGAAGCCATCTCAGGTAGGGGAGTCTGTGAGACTCTTATCTCCAATTAATCTCAGAAAAAGCCAGAAGTGGAGCTGTGGCTCAAGTAGTAGAGTGCTAGCTTTGAGTAAAAGGAGCTCAGGGAAGTGCCCAGGCCCAGAGTTCAAGCCCCAGGACTGGCAATAATAATAATAATAATAATAATAATAAATTAATAATGATGGATGAAAATAGCTCTGCTTTTCTCTACCAAGCAAGTTGAGAGTTAGTTCCACTGTCGATTCTCAACCCCATGGACTGATTAGAAATAGAATTTCTAACAATAGGTAAATTTAGGACAATTTGTTTTCCAAAAGAGTGAGTTTAGTGTCAACTTTCTGAAATCAAAGTGCTGTCAGTTCTGATCCGTGTGCAGCTGTTTGTGAGAAGGATAATGTTGGTCCCCTCAATGTGTACACAATGACACACGAGCTAAAGGCTTTACCTGACCCAGTAAAAGTGTCAAGCGCTCCATCTCCAGTCGTGGTTGAGGTTTCATTGCTGTTCAAGGGCTCTGTTTTGACTGCAAGAAGCGACACTACGTAGAAGAATAAGTACATGTGAGTTTTCACTTCTAAATTTACACCCACGCCCCTGACTGGTCTGCTAGTGGTGGTCTAGCTACCATGGGCATGCAAGAGAAAACTTGATGAGGCAAGTTTTGTTAATTTAGCTTTTACATGGGCATGCATTTATGGAGGATTTGTCATAAAATCCTCTGGCTAACCTGATTCTCAGAGTCTGGCTTTTAAAAGCAGTCAACCTTGACAAATGAAAGAGCAATACATGTCTTTGCATTTTTAACTCACTAAGCACTCTGATGTGGTCAAAGACAGAAAAAAGCAACCACTAGTCAGTCTTGAGTATGTTTAAGTCAAATTGTAACTGAGATGCACTCATCTCTATTTCATGTTTCCAAAAGATTATTATTTAAAAAATAAAAGGTGTCTTGAAAACCTGAGCTAGTCATGTGATTGGTAAAATTTAAGTCACTCAATAAATTCTCTGCTTTAAGGAAAACCAAGGAGCCTAAAACTTTTGTACCTATAAATGAATTTCTTTTGAATTAATACCCCTTTATACAATTACTTAAAGACAATAAAAGATAAATTAAAACAGTACAGGCACAAAAAAAGGAGAGAGGAGATGAAAGGGGTGAATTTGATTGGATATATTGACATGGACCATATTAAAATATTACAATGACTGCCCTTCCCCTCATACAATTTGTAAAATATATGCTACTTTAAAACTCTTTTTTAAAATGTTGGGCTTTTACAGCAGAGTTAATGTTATAGGGATCGGCATACAGTAAGCGGTGACTTCTACAGCAGAAGATTTGTCTTCTTAAAACGTCTGCAACATGTTATTTCTGCTTGAAGGCAGTATATTTTGGCAAAATCCTTACTCGGCAATGAAGTAGCCTGGCATTCATTATTCTCAATGAGATGCGATGGTGGGAGCAAGAAAAAGCCTTTCCCCATTTGGTCACACCATATTTTCCCTTTGTTGACAAAGTTCTACCACATACATCATGGCAGTTAGCGAAGAAACTACATTATTTTCTACTTACACACCTCTGTGTTTCCTGGTCACAAATAGAACAGTACAGTTAACTAACTTAGAAGCAAGCAAGTCTATAAAAGAGAAAGCTGAATACTAGCCAACCATGAAGAAATACAACAAAAAAAGTATAGCGGGATCACACAGTCCCCAGTGATCAAGTAAGTCAAGAATGTTACTTTGTTAGAAAAGCAATTAATGGATAGGAGCACGTGCACTAGTGAACAACATTAACAAGACCCTCAGAAAGAGCTGGGTTAGTTTCCTATCCACAATTTAACAATGCAATGATTGCTGGAAGATCAGAGGAGAACTGTAAAGGCTGGAAAAAGCAAGTCAAAAATCTTGAGTATTTTATCCTATTTTCAGTAGCGACGATATTCTGAGTAAAGTCTCACTATTTGTGTAGTGATGATGTATCAATGCTTACTATTTTTTAGTGGTAATTTTCAGTTCTTCGCACTATGATTACATCTTATCAGTAAGTACATTTATCACCATGGAAATTATTTGTGACTGCTACTATTCAGTATTTATTCAAAGCTTACTATGTGTATATTTAGCTAATCCTTAACACAATTTGGTAGAAATAAATCATTTTATCGGCTTCACACACGAGGCTCAGTGGGCTGAGGGCATGTTGAAATTCCAATGTAGAAAATTCCAGAGCTGAGATCTGAGCATAGGTTCTCAGCTTTAATACTGATGATCTCTGCACGAAAACAGGCTGCCTTCAGGTATGAACATGGCTGATGTACTCACAGTGGCTCTGTACAAAGCCTCTTGAAAGGCATCAAAAAGCAGTGACCTTGAATCTTGCTAACACAAATGCCAAAGGTGATTGACATATTTTAGGCAATCTTTCTGTGCCATATAGGTACTGATTTGTTTATTCACCAGTATATAATATTATCATATTTATTTTTCAGGAAAGTGAAGCACAAAAGAAGAAATCACTTGCCTCTTAATGCACTGTAAGTAAAAGCCAGATGAGGCTTTTGCAGAAGGCAAACTCTAAACTGCGCTGTCTTCTAGACAGTACCAATTAATCAAAAATTTCTTCCATCTGTATAAAGATAAGCCAGAAAATGATCTAGATGGAGGCTTAGTTGCCCTCCACACAACACTGTCCACAGCTTATCCTGACACTGGTGGCAAAAAGTATTGTCTAAAGCTTTCAGCAAAAGTAAGACAAGTGACAGAAACTAGAACATCCACATTCCAATTTCAGCCATGTTTTTCCTAATTATTCCCATGTCCCTGTTTAAACCTGCCCATACCCTACAAACAATATTTGTAAAATATATTATACTACTATTAATAGTAGTATAATGAAGTAGTATAATGAAGATGGAGCAGACATGAACTAGGTTCGACAAAACTGGTCTAGAAGCAAAATATGAAGATTAGTTTTGTTACTTTTAACACCCCCTTTGGAACTTGATTTTTAAAGAAGTAAAATAACGGTTTTGATTATACTTTCTTGAATTTGAAAGTTGCAGGCAGTCAAAAGAAAGAAAAGAAGGGGAGAGATAGATTTTAATTCCACACATTATAATGTTTAATTACATATATATGTATATGTATATACTTTTTCTTTTTCTTTTTTGTCAGTTGTGAGGCTTGAACTCAGGGTCTGAGTGCTGTCCCTGAGCTCTTGAGGCTCAAGGCTAGTACTCTACCACTTGGAGCCACACAGCCACTTCTAGTCCGGTTAATTGGAGATAAGAGTCTCACAGCCTGTCTGCCAGGGCTGGCTTTGAACTGTGATTCTCAGATCTCAGCTTCCTGAATAGCTAGGATTTCAGGCATGAACCCCTGGTGCCCAGCTATTTAATTAGAATTTTAAAGGTCTACATTTAGTCCAGAGAATGTCAGATTTTCCATTCCCCAGCTTTAAAAATATTTGATATCTGCAGAGTAAATTTATATTTTATATGATTCTTGTCAGAAGTTATGACTACTAAATCATTCTCTTCATATTCTCTCTTTGATCTCTTTCTCTTTAGAGCTTTAGGTTCAACATTTTATTTTTTTGGAGAAGTTTCATTTTAGGATCATAACTCAAAGCTCATGTTTATTTGTTGCAATATCATGCCAAATCCTTGAAAGGTGGACCAAGTAATACATACTTTTCGTTTTATTTTCAGAGCTGTATGCTTGAACTGATTCAAAGAAATATCTATCTATATACACACTTTTTTCTTAACCATGAGAATCACACATAATGACTTCTGACAAGTTAGTTTCTTCAAAAAGTATCTCAGGTAGAGTTACATTTGTAAGGGTAACAATTTATAACACTGTCAAGAAGTAATAAGCATCATTTACTAGTTTGAATACTCAGTACATGCTATGATTCGTGTTTGTTTGAGTCAATATTTTCATTTGAAAATGTTATGACTGGCTATAAATTTCTTTTATTCTGTACTATCCATGAAATACTATATTTTGCCCAATAATTTAATAAAGCAATTTATGACTCATTCTTTTTTTTTTTTTAATCAAAAATAAAGCCGGGTACCAGTACCTCACTCTTGTAATCCTAGCTATTCAGGAAGCTGAGATCTGAGGATCACGGTTCAAAGCCAGTCTAGGCAGCAACGTCCATGAGACTCTTATCTTCAATTAACCACAAGAAAATCTGAAGTGGTGCTGTAGTAGAGCACGTACCTTGAGCTGAAGAGCTCAGGGACAGCACCCAAGCCCAGAGTTCAAGACCCATGACTGACCAAATAAAAAAAAAAGAAAAGAAAATCCAAACTAGAGTCACAACACTAAGTGTCTGTACTACATGAATACTTAACATTCAGAAACAAATTTATTACATGTGAGTCAATCAGGCATATATGTAAAACTCTAGAAGGTTCTATTTTATATGGTAATTTCAAATGTCAAACAACAATTTAGCTGATCAGAACATCTGAATTTTGGTCTCCCCAACGTTTCTTTGATGCCTTGATCTCTATGTGGAATGGCACATTCCCCTTGCAGCACACATTCACTTTGAGCTCATTCGGATGCCTCATTCACATCTGTTCCTCTGCTTGACTGGTTGGTCCTTGGCCAGTAGCTGTTACTCAGCTTAGTGTTTTCCAATTTCCTTGCATAGAGCCTGGCTTGTAATAGGAACTTGATGTGTGTTAATTAAGAGATAAATTAAAAAACGACCCCCTTTTGACATTATCTCAAACATTTCTAATAGATCTAACTTTTTTTTGAATATCAAGTATAGTTAATTATGACTCCTGACACTATTCAGCAAATTTGAATTGCAATTACTTATAAGTTGAGGAAGCTCTTCACGTAACTGATCCTTTTTTTCTGGTAAAGGAGTTTGAACGTAGGGCTTTATGTTCTGCCTGGGGATTGACTGATTAGTATGAAATTATTAATATAGAAAGTATCTTTATTGCCACATCTCTGACTGATTTTGTATTGCATTAGCAGAGTTGAATGGTTGGACCAGAGACTAGTGTCTCTCTGATAGAACGCAGTTACTATCTGACTGATTTTGCATTGCATTAGCAGAGTTGAATGGTTGGAACAGAGACTAGTGTCTCTCTGATATAACAGAACACAGTTACTATCTGGCTCTTGACCAAGCAATCACTCTTGCACCAGAACTAATAAATAATTCTAGCCAAATATTGTCAAAGTATTACAAGTATATTCCAAGTGTGAAAAAGAAAAATGCTTGAAGTTTAAACTATAAAAAATAATAATTGACTAGTTCCCAGGAGAAGATGGCAGATTAAACACTTCCTTCATGTGACCTTATGAATAAGAAAAGTCAGAATAACAAAGCTACAATTATATTTTAAAGAAAGGCAAAAGAGAGAAAGAAGTGATAGGACATCTGAAAAGCAAAAAGAAACAGAAAAGCTACAACAACAAGTAGAAAACAGCCTGTAACTTCAGGCTTGGCTCCCTAGGTGGAGGGGAACCCAAAGCAGCAATCACAAAGCAAGCCAG